TGATACAGTCAGGAATGCTGATAGTTACTGTTATCACTATTGTGATGCTCAGTAATGGAGCTCGTCAGCTAAAAGCCAAGAACTTTAGGACTCATGCAACACTATAGGACATGCACAGTTTAGTTTTGCTTACCTGTAATATTACATTTTTGATTAATTAGTTATCTTGGCTTATAATAAAAGTTATTCAAAATCAATTAAAACTATCAAGTTTTACTGTCTGCACTGTGAGCTGATCATTATAACATTAGCAATAATGACAATGAGTGATTAATTATTAATAATCACCATGTATAACAACATGGAATGTTTCGACATGCAGTATAGACATAATTTCTTTCGCGCTGTATTTTTTTAGTTTTTGGAGCCTATCATGAAATTAAAACTCATGACATCATTGAAGTTCCATCCACTTAATGTCAGCCATGAAATCAAAAGAAAGCATTGAACATGCACATGTACATGCATGTAGCTGTACATCATATGCACATGCATCATGTATTATTAATTTGAATTACTTTGTCGTCTTCTTTAAGTCCGTCCTCATCTGGTCCAACTAACAATGCTAACTGCTCCACTCTTTGCTATAAATAATAATAATAATAATAATAATAATAATAATAATAATAATAATAATAATAAACAATAACAACAACAACAACAACAATAATAATAATGATAATAATAATAGAGAAAATGAAGCATGAAAGTAAATGTGCAAGCATAGAGGCATAGGTATCAAAGTATACAGTATGGGTATTGAAATTATGAGACTGAGAATCACTAACCCCAGAGTCTTTAGTATTGTCAATGTGTATGCAGGCACCAAATGGTTTAATCTTCCTCTCATAAGCCAGTATAATAGTACGGGGTTTCCCTCGTGGCTCATCTCTTGATTCCCAGAATGTTTCAGTAGACCCGTCAGTTAAACTGTTGGACATTCCATCATTGGAGGATACTTTGAGTTGACGTCCAACGAATTATTATTTTTTCTTGAAAGTTATTACGGTATGCAATGCATAAATTTATTTTACTTAGCACGCATATAGAACTGATATTCCCTTGACTGAAAAATCACTAATAGATCTAGTAATGTGGCAATACAATGACATACATTTCTCTTATGACTATTTGTCTCCTTTCAGACCTTCTCCATCCATCTTGGGCTCCAGCAGGCAGCAGATCCGTCAGAAGTTCAAGCAATTACAGAGGCCATCATCTCAGAAATTTTAATGAAGGGAAGGGAGAGTCCCAAATAATAAATGCAGGGGTGTGGCTCATTGCCATGTAAAACTTAAAAGCCCAACATCCACTAGGCAACTTTGTTGAAATCAACAGAAATTTTGTTGCCAAAAGTAGAACACTGTTCTACTTTTGGCAACAAAGTTGACATACATCAAAGTAACCACAAAGTTGCTTTCAACAAAGTTGCCATAGTGGATGTTGGGCTTTACACTATACAACACAGTTTAAGCCCAACGTACACTATGCAACATTTGTTGTAGACAATTTGGTACTCAAACATGGCCCTTGCATCATGAAGCAACAATGATGTTTCACCATAGATATGGTTTCACTAATGATAACTCTTGGGTGCGTATAATGAACTATGTTATCATTGGAAACAAGATTACTTGATTATTATTTTAAAATACTAATTAATTTGTTATCCTTTTCATCATCTAAAAATACATGCATTTTTTGAATAACCCATGCTTATATATTCTAAAAAACTTGAATACACCTGTAGAAATTTCTGATCAGTCTACACTTGTAAATCTACAACACTCATCCACGTACATAGTGTACAATTAATTTTATAGTAACAATTAGATGCATTGTCATTAATTTCTTAAACAAAGTTGAACTCAATAGCATTTTAATAGCAGCATAAAATTAAAAGAGACAATCCTAATAATAATAATAATAATAATAATAATAATCTAGTTCAAAAAGTTCTAATCTATCATACTTTACTAATAATAACTACTACACACTATAAACTAGTCCAGTTCTAAATACCACACCCACTCCTCAAAAAGTCTGAGCATTACGACAGACTCCACAACCTAGAGCAAACTCCTCTCCAGTGGGCGGGTGCTTAACATGCAAAGGACACTCCGAACCAGACAGAGGCTTAGCCCTGGGACCCACTGGACACTGAGGCAGGTCTGATTTAGCAATGGAGGTTACACGCTGGAAATCATCGTGACAAGGATTGCAGAAATGTGTCGTACCAAAACAGAAATAGACAGCAACAGAGCAACAATAACGACACTTGTACTCCAGGAAATCAGTACCATGCTTTGGACAGACCTATAGGATGCATCAGTAAAACTCAGTAAAACTTAATAGTAAACCCAGTAAAACTTTGCATAACTTAGTATAAGTCAGTATATTACCTGTAGTTGTCCTCCAGTATTAGAGCAGGATGGACAGACAAGCTCAGTGGGATCATAATCATCAGAACCAACTGCTTCAGCACAATGAGCCTCACCACCATAATAGGCCTAGAGAGAGAGGAGTAGGGCAGAAATTAGAATGCATGTATGTGTACATGTATATATTATAGTGTACATGTAATTGGAGTTGGGTGAAGCTAGCCCACTAATGTGAAGTATTTCTGTATGTACATAGGTTTGGGGGCGTGACTGGGAGGCATGGCCAGAGCCCCTTAATGTTCTAAGTTCTTTCTAGTTTGTAGTAATGCACATGTACATGTACAATGTATGAATTTAGATATCTTTTTCATAATACATCACTTACTCTCTCTCTAATGTCTTACCTTCTTACACTTGTAACACACATAATACGCATATTTCCACATTGCATACTCTTGAGGCTTTTGATAAAACTTTGACGTAGGGGACGTTACTGCTTCACATTTTGTTTGGTTCTCGTATTCAAGTCTAAGGAGACACTTCCTCGTGACGTCAGAATAAAGATCAGTTAATGGCTTGGAGACATCTTCAAGATGAGGATGAGATATGGGCTTATCCTGAGGGGGAAAGAGAGAGGGAGAGAGGGGAGAAAAAGGGGGAGAGAGAGGGGGAGAGACATTAAAGTGAAAGATGAAGGGAGGGATAAGGACAAGAGAGAGAAAGGAGAACAAGAAAGACGGAGGAAAAGAGAGATAAGATTAAACAATAATAATTATTATTTCAAGAGAAGTACAAGAAAGAATGTTTCTCTTACCTCACATATAGAGCAGAACATAAATCTAAATGTTATCCTCGGTCCAGACCATTTCTTACTCAAAGCATCACGACAGCAATGATAATGGAAGACATGACCACACTCCAGCTGTATGGAAGGAGCACAGGACAATCCTTCAGTATAGCATATCATACACATATCATCAGCATCTTGCTTTAGGGGAGGGGCAGTCACGCCCTCTTTAGGGACACACCCATGAAGACAAGGAAGACACTTCTTTTCGTCTTTGACTCCACAGCAGTAATGGCCGCAGGAAAGGGTCTTAGTACAGACCGAGCGAGATCTTTCTTGACACTCTGGATCAGGGCAGACGTTACCAATAGCCAGTAGACCAGTGTTTGATGTTGTGCCACAGAATCTGCAAGCACCTTTGCCGCTACCTGCATAACATAGTAAATTAGGTCAGTATAACTCAGTAAATTTGTTCAGTATAACATGGTAAATTACCTCAGTAAATTACATGTGAGTCAGTATAAAACAATTTAAATAGCTCAGTAAGCTAACTTAATAAGCTCAGTATATCTCAGTATATTTCAGTATATTTACCTCCTACAGTGTCTTTAAATTCAACCATTCCTTTAAGGGTACGTGAATCAGCGAGTGCCATAGTCCAATAAAGTTTAATACGACCACACCCCTCATGAAGATCGACCTTAACGGCTTCCTCTTCCTCTTTGAAAACCTAAAAAATATTAAAAATAATAAAATAATAATTATAAAGGGCACAAACACAATGATACATATGCTATATACAGTAAAATTTCTACCTCATGTACACATTGTAGAGCATTGGTCTCCTGAAATGCGAGATTTCAGGAGACCTATACTAAATAATGGGAGACCGAAAGAGATATACATGTACATGTAATTATACTATGCTAGTACTAGTACAGGGAATCTATGAATCACAAAATGTAATTAAAGTGGTGAATTCTTACCTTTTCATTTTTGGCGTAATTTGGCCAAAGACCCTGTACTATAGTACAGGGACTTTGGTCCAATTTTTGAGAAACTTTAAAAATTCATGAAAATTTCAATTTTGATCAGAATTGGCTTAAACTTTCTATGCAACATAAGTACATGTATATGTATCAGGAAATGTAATAAAAATGAAAAATTCTCACCTTTTCATTTTTGGCGAAATTTGGCCAAAGACCCTGTACTATTTATTATTTTTCTCTCACTTATTTCCGTTATTATATCTCTTTTTTCTTTTAACCTACTATTTATCCCTGTGTTATATCTATTTTATTTTTAAAAAAATGTTTATTTAAGGGCTCAGTTCCCTCCTACAATGTACTATAGTACAGGGACTTTGGCCCAATTTTTGAGAAACTTTAAAAATTCATAAAAAATCCAATTTTGATCGGAATTGGCTCAAACTTTCTACGCAATATAAGTACATATATATGTATCAGGAAATGTAGTAAAAATGGTGAATTCTTACTTTTTAATTTTTGGTGAAATTTGGCCAAAGTCACTGTACTATAGTACAGGGATTTTGAGCCAATTTTTGAGAAGCTTACAAAATTTGTAAAAAAATTTAATTTTAATCAAAATCAGCTCAAACTTTTTACACAACAAAAGTACATGCATAAGTATCAGGAAAAAATATAAAAATCCAGAATTCTCTCCTTTTTAATTTTGGCAAAATTTGGCACGAGGCCATGTACTATAGTACAGGAATTTTGGCTCAATTTTTTAAATTTGTTAAAAAATTCAATTTCAATCGAGATCAGCTCAAATGTTTTACGCAACATAAGAACATGTACACTGCACTAGCATCTTCCTATTATTACTATTCTTGCATGTCTGACTATTATTATACTAATATTTACGTACATGTACATGTGTACAATGAAGCTCCTTCACTCACTTGTCTATTGTGGTGATGATTCTTCTTGTGATAATGAAGCACACGGTCACATTCACCACAAAGGTTACCACACACGTCACACAATATAAGAGCTTTAGTCTCACCATCATCATGATTATCACACAGAGGCTGTAAAGGAAGAGAAAAAGAGAAGGAGTAAAAAAGCAGTTAAACTAAGCAAAATTGACAAAAACTCTTCTTTTGTCCTCATTTTACCACCTTTTAATTTTACCTCCATCACCTTTTCCTCTCTCTGTCCCTCTCTCTGTCTCTCTCTCCCCCCCTCTCTCTCTCTGTCTCTCTCTCTCTTTCTCTCTCTCTCTGTCTCTCTGTCTCTGTCTCTCTGTCTCTCTCCCTCTCCCTCTCCAGATGAATGCATTGTCCAGTCGAAGTTTTGATGCAAACAATAATGATTACTCTATATATTAGAGTTGGAAAATATAGATTTATAAAATTTTGTGATTTGGAGCATCCAAAAAATTTAGCAACACAATTAAGTATGCTGTAGTTGGCTTTCCTATTGCACATGACTACTATACTGTAGTACCTCAATACAAGGATACACTGCACTCTATACTGTAAACAACTTATATTCATAAGGACTACTCAAGGGGAATGATACTGAGTGAATCTTTCCATTGATAATACATGCACACACATTATAGTCACTCCTGACAGCCATTGAAGGTTTAGTCAGACTTTCTATAAAACTTTAAATTTAAAATGAGCCAGCAACTATATGCTACTTTTAACTAATTGCATGTTGATGATTCAAATAATTTCACATCACATACATGTACTAGAACATACTAATAATGTTTAATGCACAATGCACACAGTTGGTGAACACTCTTCACATTACCTGTTACCTCACCAGTGTCCATTAGATATAAGTTGTCTACAATACACTGTTAGTATCCTTGTATTGAGGTACTACTACATTATAGTAGTCATGTGTAATAAGAAAGCCAACTGCACTTTAGTTTATTTATTTTTGGTCCCTTTTCCTTTTTCCCCTCTCCAAATTTGCTACACAAAATTAATTAAAGAATTTACTAGGCTGACATATTGAAATAGACCCTGCAAATGGTCAGACTTAGAAAGCTGGTGGCTGCAAAATAATTTTACACTAAAATTCCCACTTACAGGATACTTGTACAATTAAAATCTTACTTTCAACTTGCAAGTGTACATGTACATAAAAGACTAAATTATTTCTAAATATACATGAAGCTGTAGAAATGGATGGACTGTTGTCCAGTTGAAGTGTCAGTCTATAATTATAGTGACTAGTTGGCTTTCTTGTGAGACAAGACTACTATAATATAGTGACTAGTTGGCTTTCCTATTGCACATGACTACTATAATGTAGTACCTCAATACAAGGATACACTGCACTGTATACTGTAAACAACTTATATCTAATGAACACTGGTGAGGTAACAGGTAATGTTCATTCAATGAAATGCATTTATCAACCTAATAATAGCACTTATACCCATTTGAATGAATTAGTCAAATGGCACACTAAAAGAAAAATCATTGTTTTCTAAGTTTGATTAATAGTTAAAAACAGTTAAACTGCCACCACACATTGAATCAATATACTTTGATCACAAGTTTATTTAGAGTGGCAGGGCGTTACAAAAGAAGCTTCTTTGATTACCTTCTAAATTAACATTGCATTAATTAATGTATGTTGCATGCCATAATAATCAATGTATCAGACTTCATTTCAGTGCATCAATACATTCATGGAATTAAAAGTAGTGAACACTCTTCCCATTACATGTTACACCTCACCATGCACTGTTCAGTAGATACATGTACATGTTGTTGTATACAGTGCTGTACATCAATGGACCTTATGCAACGAACGGTCTAATTAACGCGCACCTCCCAACTGGATGAAAATGGCGGATTTTTTGGTGAACAGGCAGGCTGAACATTTTCCTCTTTTATCAAGTCATCCTTACTGTAGGAGCTACTTTGAGCTCTCTTTTTGTTTCATCAGACTCTATTTATTTCTCCTGTAAGCTCTTTGGTTGTTGTTTTGGCTTTTAAAGCAGTTTTTTATAGGCCTATTCTCATCCTTTGCCAATTCCCGTTTTGGTAAATTTTGCTTTCAGGAGCCAAGGCGCTTGCCCCTCCAGTGCTATGAAGACAGAAGTGTATTCACCTGAGTCCTATGACTAATGTCTATCATCAGAGTTAGTCTCAGTCCATCAGGACAAGGTACGGTGGAATAACTCACTCAGTTTTCATGTTGCAGCTGGAGTGTGGATGATGATGACCATCTTTTCACTTCTTAAAACTATAGGATTGGTCTTTTATGGATAGTTAAGGAATACAAGAACTCTCTGGC